CTACTGCCTTTGATTTGCTTAGACAACCAAGCGACTGGCAAGGAGCGGTTCTGAAGTTTCTTGATGATGCTGTTCTCAGGGATCTGAGAGGAGGTGGAGGGAAAGTAAGACGTTTAGCTCATCTGATGCTACGTGCTGTGTCAGATAGCCATCTATCCATGTATCATTAGGCTATGTGGTTTCAGCAGGGGCACTGCTGCGGAGGTGAAAGCAGTGTGAACGTCGATTATTTCTCAACGCTAGAGAGGAGTTACATTGAGTTCGAAAGAAGAGGGACTCAGTTTAGGCCGAGGTTTTTTGGAGTAGGAGTCTCATTTAGAGGTCCGCAGATGATTTCTCCAAGTTTTCAGGTTTATTGCGGAAATGGGACTTTGATGGGAAGGGAATCGAAAGATTCAAGCCAAGGGAGGGTCGTATTGGCGGCCAGGTTTCTTCGACACGTAGTTACACTTAGTGGAGGGAAGAGGGATGTGTGAGAGAAGATGCAAAGGCACGTTCGTTTTACTCTAAGTTCTTCCGGTGAATATCCGAATTCACTACTTCTTTTGATATGCTTGAGATGATTCTCAAGCTATCACCGATAATGAATTTTATCCTCACGCTCGCTCAGTAGCGACAGCCTTACGCGACATTTTACTTGTCGAACCTAGAGTGTCCCAAGTCAGCAGTAAATATAGGTCCGCCAAGGTGACCGGAAGCGAGACAAGAGTTGAAGTGTATTTCACTTTTCCAGCTTTCTCGTAATGGGATCGAGATGCATTTCGCTACGAATGCATTCGGTCATTACGTGTTGGTGAACAATTTGTTGATGTTGCTGGAGAGAAGTGCCGACGGAAGAATCGTCATTGTATCCTCCGGACTGTATAAAGGTGTAAGTGTTTTCTATACCTAGCGATTTTCTGGAACCTTGTACTTTTCCAGTCACAAAATGATTAGTGGTAAAAGTTGGACAAGAAAGGGCGATTTCAGGTGAATCACATTCCATCAATTCGTCAGCTGATGGGTGAGCACGACTGGGATTATCAGGCAAGATTTGCGTACGCCGTGAGCAAGTTGGCCAATTGCCTACATGCAGTAGAGTTGGCTAAGTACGAATTTATATCTTTTACTACTTTTGGATTACGGTATCTTAGTGCTCATCCCACTGTTATCACGTATAACGGGAATTTTGTTTAGGTTTTTTTATATTGATTTCGAGGACTAGGGTATTTCCTTAATCCACTATCTTGACTGTAAAGTCTCCATACTCAGGCGTTTAACGGCAAATCGCTGCTCAACAAAGGTCTATGCCATTCGTCCCGGGTTTGTTGGAG